GAACAGAACTGGCTGATTGCCATGATAGCTGCATCCCCATAGCAATATAAGCCAAGGATAGCATTTGGCGGGGTCACACAAATCACAGTGAACCTTTTATATACATGGTAGGAATCAACAGTTTCTGAGGTTTTCTCCTCATGTTAATACTAAATGATTACGTTGCCTCCGAGTAGTAGCCCTATTTGTTGTTGAAATCTAGTTGCATATAAATGTTATTAGAGTTGCAGATGCCTATGATTTATCAGCCGTTTTACCAAATAAACATTTCCCCCTAAACCTCTCAAATTGTTTAATTTAAATGTGTGCTTGAGGCCAAAACATCTCTGGAACTAAACAGCAAAGTCTAAACTCCAAATCACTACACATGTGTGCAACAGCGCCTGCTTTTCCTTCTTTCCCCTGTACAAATCATCTCAAAACCCCTAAGATTCATCTAGTGAACCTTTGGGGTTTGGAGCCACTGGACTAAACTTCTAAACCATAAACAAGGCAGTCCAAAGTAGCTCCAGCTCGACCAACTTCAACAGTAAAATGATACTTTACATTGATGCATTAACAATCCAATAATAACATGCTGTATATCTCTCAGTGTAATTTAGTGTCTGTGCATTTGATACATGTCGTTACTGTTCTGTGCCTTATTCCAAAGCAGGACTTGAACTTGTATTGAAGTATTGCATTGTTATATTGGTACTTTGACTAAGTAAAGGACCTAATACTTCTTCCGCCCTGAATCTGCCTCGTAATAGACCTGTGCAATCATAAATCCTTCTCGTTAGGAGGCGATCTAATCACTCTCGCCTCTGATTAGTCATTAACAGTCCAGTTAGTGAAATGGTGAGACGCAGGTGGGTGGGCAACTGCTTAGATCTCCAGGGTCTGCCTTGACTCGTTAATGATCGGTTAATTAACATTGTTTCAGTCCTCCGGCTTGTTTGCACTCACCTGCCACGGGGAAGAGTCAGAAAACACTGGGGCAGGGGGCAATAAACAAGGGGAGTAGAGGAAGAGACGTTGAGGCAGAAGGAAGGAAATGAGGTGAAATGATCCTGAAACTTATAATTGAACACAATCAACTAGAGCAAGACCAACACAAAGGGAAATGCAAGGCTGTTTATAAAAGAGCAGGATTGGAAAACATAATAGGCCAAGTGGTAGCATCTCAGTGCATCAACTATCATTAGAGACCTGCAAGGCAGTGCGTGTCTCTGTTACTCATAGCAACACTGCATACCATGATAATAGGCTGACAGATGATTGGTCAGGCTGCCACACTCTGGTAAGTGACCTCAGCGCTGTACGAGTGAGCTCACTGTCTCAGTATTTTGGAAAGCCCAGCCAATTCTTCACAGCACCTCCAGCAAATCTGCTAATAAACAAACTGTAGGCTGTTGTGGGCCATCACAGGAGCCACGGAGATGCATAATCCTGTACCCTAAACCCACCAGGCATCCCAGTTTCCCCTCAACCACTGATCTAAGGCCAGCGGTTTGACTGTGTTTAGTTAATATTCTACCTGTTCATTTGTCAGAGTTACTGTCTCTATTAATGAAACGTATCGCATCTCAAACCCCACCGCCTCATCCCTCCTCTCTGTGTCTACAGAGTGTCTCCAAAGCATAAGACTGTTTATCGAAGCTTTAAATAATGCAGATGGTAATATGATAAGTGAACAGTCAATGTTGGTGTCCTGCTTAAACACACACACATGCAGGCAGACAGATGGGCAGACACATACACACTCACAGTGCAATAAATAGGATTCTTCAGTTGTTTGAACGCAACATTGGGCCGAATTCGGATTTTGTTTTCCAGTTTCCGTATCCAAAGTATTCTGTGTTAGTCATGCCAGAGAGTTGCAGTGCTGGAGAGCCAGAACATCGACCTGAAGAGCTTTGCCAGTGTGCATGTCTAATGCAACCCTGTCTGGGAATACTGCCAGTCTACTGTTACTCCACTAGTGGGGTTTATCATACACACATGCACACACCCACACACTAACACACATAACAAGAGAGGTAGGGAGTGTAGAGAGACAGAGCTTTGTGGTGTGTCACTGATCTCTGCTCGCATGCACAAACACGTCCAACGTAGCCATGGCCTGCTTGTCAAAAGTCACAAATATGCAGCTCTCATCCCATGATTTTGTGTCTTAGGTGCTGTGTGTCCCACAACGCTCACTGCTGTAAAATGCTTCCACACTGCCGATGCTCTACAGCCATGAACAATGCATGCTGTGAGACATAGGACATGCTAACGTCTAAAAAGTAAAGTAAACGTTTTTCAAACAAACCAAATAACCTTTTAGCTTCACAAAGAATTAAAGGGCTTGTCAACGGAAAAGGAAATTAAAATGAGTTGTCAAAACTTCAAAAATGTAACAATCCCAGCTTATACGTTGTCTATGTTTGTATTCTTGGGTTTTAAGACAATTTATGTGACAAAGCATGCAAAAGTAATATGTCAACTTTGGCTTAAGGAAATTGGGAGAGATATTCTACTATTTTGCCATTTGATTTATTGACCAAACTTCTACGAGAGGGGACAAAAAGCACAGAACATGAAACCAAATCAGTTTCAGCAAGGCTGGTACTATGGGCCTAATTTAGAAAATTGTGAGCGAGCCCTGTTTCTAACTATAAAATATATAATACACTCTTGATTATGTCCTTGAACATTTAAACCGCCGTGTGCTCACATAAAACTGAGCACTCGCTTTCAAACAGTCTCTTAAAAAGAAGGACGTCTCAAAAACATCTTCACTTTGAGAGTCTGAATCAGTTCCCAGAGAAGTACAAGAACACACAAACACACACAATCAGGCCAGCTAATAGTGTGTGCAATTAAACACCAATTCATTCAATCCCCAGTTGTCGTGATTATACATTTGGGTTAGATTTGAAATGTATCTTGATTAAATATTGAGAAGGACCATGTTCTGAGTGTTTCACTCTTCCTCTGAGGCTTGTGATAGTCTGATAAGAGTGTGTGTGCTGCAGGGGAACCTCATTTTATTTATCAAGTGGCATCAGTCTATTCTTTAATGTCATTAGATACTTTGCGCATCATGAACACGATTAAAACTGGATGCCATTGAGTAACCCTGCTTAAAGAAATTGAATAAAGATGATCCAGTGATATTGGAGAAATATTTTTACCCTACTGATTTTGTCTTATATGTCGTTTTTATAGTTTTTTGTTCTTGTAAAATGACATGGGTAAACCAAGTGCATCACAAATGCTTTCATCTACAGACACAAATAGACAAACTATAGTAAAATAAACACTTAAATGTGTATTTTGTACGTTTTCCTTCCAAAAGCCTGAAAGAAAACATGTTATGGAATCAAAATAGCACAAAATCTCAAAATTGACCAGTGCATGAAAAACGATGTTTTTGCCTAGGGTGTCTCGCCTTAAGGACATAATACATTTAATTAAAACACAATGCAAATCATTAGCAACACAACTACATCCTTCTGTGGTATATTCACATTTTAAACTGTTTTTCTTGGTGTATTTATGTAAACGCTTACAGGGCTTTCTATTTAATAAAGACACCTTTTCCTTTTCTTCTTTCACCATTCTTGTTTGTTTAAGTAAATTGTTTTTGACTGGTCAGCGTTTGCATCATTACTACCACAACTAGGATGATTTGGTTATGAACCCAGCAAGTATTTGACTTATGCAGTACAAAATACAAATACTGAGTGATATGTAAGTTAGGGGCTTAAAAGAGAACTCCATCAATATGTTTCCCTAAATGAAAGGTCAGTTTCATCAGGGGGATCTCAGCTTGAGTTTGAGGACTATACATTGAGTAACAAGCTGGAGGTGGAGTTTAAAGACATGGCCATTTGCCAGGCAGGGCCGATAGATACAAGGAAGGGTGCATTGTGGGAAATGTAGGATTGTTTGCAAAAAACATGGACTAATGTGTGCAGAGGTGAAAATCCCAGCATTCAGTAGACAATGCCAGCTGGGAGCAAAAATATGGAACCTGCTGCTTTGACATTTTAAACCTTTCTTTTCCTTTGTGTGACTCCCCCAACTTCATGGAAGTGCATTAATACTCCTTTCCGAAAAATTCAGATGCTGCTAAGTGAGTGTTTCCTAAAAAAGCCCAAGATACAGCTGCTGCCAAATGTACAGCTTATTAATAGACAAAAACATCTGGACAAAAAAAATAGAACGGGATTTCCACACAATGCCAAATGTCAGCAGTGTAAACAGCCGGCTGCTACAAACGATTATAGATAAAGCTGCCCATTATTTTTCTTGTTAAATGTATCCATTTTTGTAATCTATGTTATGAGAAGCAAAATTAATAAAAAAGGACACAGACAAGAGAGGTACTGATCACTTTCACATAAGAAGAGCAGCCAAAGTCTCAGTATTGGGGAACTGGAACTATAGAGAAAAAATAATTTCCATCAACTATCAAAATGTGCAGATTATTTTCATGTCAATCAACAAATCAGTTGATTAAGTTATTGTCTCAGCTCTTCAAAGCTGTTGTTTCAGGCTACTCAACACCCATACTAGTAACATTAAAACAATATTCTACAAGCAACAACAAATAGAAGAATAAAATAGCCTACGTTGAGACTGTATCTTATTAAAAATTACAATAATACAAAGTCATTGGGAAAAAATTATTGACAAAAAGTAATGAGGTCTCCAGGGGAGCCCAGTCAGTAAGAATAAGGTTAAAACTTTGTCAAAACTTCCTCGAGTGTGTTGTCAACTACTCCCAAGTTCTTTCATAAGGGTACGTTTGACGTCTCCACAAAGACAACAAGAGTGTATTGACTAAAAATACATGTAAACATTTTGGTTATTCTTCCTGTGTTAAATGTTTAAGTGTTTACCGTTTAACATTGGGTGGACGCTGGTGTCTCGCTGCTGTCCGACAGTAACATTCACTGGCACACAGACCTGACCTAGAATTGCTACTTAGAATTCGGGCTAAACCATCGCGCTGGAACGGAGGGGGGTGGAGAGACGACAGGAAATCTTGACTGGGATGTAATGGAGTAGGACCACTGGAAAGCTCGGGCGAAAGGGGGGAGACATATTTCTATTTTATAATGTTCCCGTGATAATGTTGTGATTTGATTAGTGTACGCTATGAATCCGTCGTTCGAGGAAAACGGAGAATTAAGCTAGCATTCCAGGTGAGTGTTTCTTTCTTGGTTTCCAGGTGAAAAGTGTCGGTCCACAGCTCGCCTCCTGGCAACGGGCACACGCGGGTCCTCCTCCCGGGGACATCTCACTCTGGTATCCGTTCTTCTCTGCCTCTGTCCCCGAAGGCTGGCTAGCTAAACCCACGTCGTGTCTGGCCTGGCAGACAGTGAGCACCCTTTCCACCGTAAATGCCGTTTTTTACAGTGCACCAAAAGCGGATTATTCACGATGTTTTCAGCATGGTGTAAAACCCGCGGAGAAATATTGGTTTTTACCCCATTATACTGGAGGACCGCCCGTGCTTGGTGAAAATGAAAAAAGGATACAATGCAGCATGCATGTTCTGCATTCTTCGGGAGTACCACGCCAATGGTATTGTATTGTTTTATTAAAAATGTGTTTGATATGATTTATAAACGCGTAGCGAGATTATAGGCCTCGGCTGCTGATTGTGTCGACCAGCCCTATCATCTGCCGAGCGATTTAATTGTTACATTGTGAACGGAGCTAACTTGAAAATGAACGTTTGCCTAAGGAGGGCCCGGATTGTTTTATTAGCACACAAAGCCATATAATGAATCTCGTTTTGTGTGTGCTTGTGGCCGACGTCGTTGTTCTCGCTCTGAGCCGCCGTCCAGTGCCTCCCTCTTCGGGGAAGACTTTGTTTGCGCTGGCCGACGCTCCATGAATGCAAGTGCTGAAGTCCTCCCTTCCCCCCCAGCTCTCTGGCGAAACAGGAACAACTTCTTTTAGGAAAAAGAAAAAAAAAGTTCCTGGAGTTTCAAGCGCCATGGAATTACTTTGTCCGCCAAGAGTTGTCCAGTGAGGCGCTGAGATTTCAGGGGGGGGAAGTGTAGTCTCCGTACTTGTTGTGAGCTTTACGTTTATTTGCAGAGTTTTAGGTTTGTAGGTGCCTGTGTGTATTTTAGGACGACTTCCTCGAGTAGGCCCGTTTGTGAGTAACTTGTGTGGCATTGTGCTGTGTTAACTTGGCAAGACCAACAGAGCAAAACATGGCAAAGAATGTGCTCAGTGTTTTAGTTTTAACAATCTTTTTAAAACTTGAATTGTGAGTGACAAAATCCACAGGTGTAGAAATGTTTAGAACAAGAAAACCGTATGATATTATGAGTCACTTTGTCATTTATTTTCCTTTTAAAAAAAACACACACACATTGCATGGACTCAATAATATATTATCTGTATATGTATCCAGCATTTTATTCCCATAATGTTTTCAAAATTTGAGGATAAATATTGTGCATTCTTGCAGTTTATATTCTAGTCATTTTAGCTGATGTTGTTATCATTGGTGACTTCAGTGTTGGCAGGTAGTGCTTCAGTGTTTTGAAGCATACCTGCCAGTTACTGAGATTGAACTGCAGACCTTCCTGTTTCAGGATTCTGGTCTCTTCAATTGCTAGGCAACACTGCAGTCTGCCACGACGTCTATCTGTTGCATAGTCTTCAAGCTGTTTCATATTTATCCTCTCGATTGTCACTACTCCTACCCTATTTTCTTTCCTTTACAAAGGTGTTAAAAAAAGAGCCATTTTATCACTCCCACAGTTGATACTTGGAAGGACAAAGTAGTCTTGGATGCAAAGAAGCCAGGAAGCTCTTGGTAGAGTATCATTTGCTGTTTTGTAGTCCCTTATGTGCACACCGGTCGATAACTGAAGTATAAATGAGTGTCTGGGTTAAAAAGGCAAGTATACACGGTTACTGTAGCCCCTAATGACCTAGGCTTTGCACTGGTTATGTGTTTGCTTCATGTTGGTCTTGTCAACACGGGTGACTGAGTGCTTTTCCTTGCCATTCGCTTGTTTGTTTTTCACCCGATGAGCAAAGTTGTCTCCCTCTGTTCCAGGTGTGAATGACTTGTGGCTGTAGGGTGTCGTGAGTGGGCCATCCAGGTTCCTGCACAGCCTCCGTGGCTGACTGGGAGGAGTCGAGGGGAGCAGACATCAGTGCCCAGGGGACCTGAGGCCTGGTTCTCCATATGAGGCCCTGCTGAAAGGGCAGGGGGGCTTCTGAGGTAACCCAGCTCAACTCTTACCTCTCTCCTTTTTCACACTTTATCACAGAGTTTCTTTCATACGTACACTTCTTCCCTGTTCTCTGAAAACATATATCTAGGACAGATTGCACATCTGTTCTCTCATCCCAATGTATTTATTACTTTTTTCTCTGTAAGCATAACTAGAAGATCCAAATACCATAAAACATGGCAGGAACACATCCAACATATTTCCCTGTTTACGATGCAGTTCAGAATCCTGCACAGGACTAGTTTTGCACACCCGCACCCACTAACCGCAGCACAGGAAACGACCTGTGACCCGCAATTATCTCCAAGTCGAATCCAGACTGGAGCCGAACCTGTTAATAAAAGTCATGCATCCTGACCAGTGATTAAAAACACAGGCTTCATAGTCACTCACTTCAAAGCTTTATTTTGACCCTTTAAGCTGGGTTCTCCTCCTCTTTTTGTAACGGCTTCTATGGGTGTTGTAATGCTGTGCACATTCTCCGCCACAGTTCCCGGCTTTCACGATACAAAAATCATGCTGGCTGATTATGCTTCATAATGGAAGCATATTTTGATGTTAGAAAAGCTGCACAATCATTCCATCTCTGATTTCCTTTTTACCCAAGTCCGGACCCGTGAATTCATGTCTTTTTGTTCAAAACCTTTTAGCAGGTTACCTGTCGGATATACCCAAAAGGGAACGAAAAATAGCAATACCCTTTGCAAAGAATCCCTGAATGCAATGCTTCACAAGTATGTAGAAATACGTACTCTATCTAATTACATCTCAAGCGACCCCACACTTGCCAATGATGCAAAATGACAATGATATGCAGTTGTTGGAAATCTAATACTAAATGTTTTACCATACAGTACAGAACTGTTTCTATAGTTAAGGTAGTAGTACATTTGTGAAAAGGGTGTGGATTTTTGGCACAGCCATGGTGTAGTGGTAAAGCAAATATTTGTATTCACAACATGTAGAAATCAGGGAAGCAGAACTAATTAAATATACTGGTCTGTCATCTTCTCACAATTAAGTCATACTCCTTCCTATAATTTTTTAAAAAACGGATCAAATTTTCTTCCATCATAATTCATGTCTGTGAACACTTAAAATAATAGTTCTAAACGGCTCTGATGACACAGTAAGCATGCGAGCACAGGCTCTTCCTAACGCCATTCACTATCTCTTTGACATTTATCTATGGACGTGCCTGCATTGATAGCTGCAGTCTGATGAGAGGCGTTGAATTGTAGAACAGTTCCCTCCGCACGGCCACTCTTGATGCTCAGGGATGCGTCTTGAGGAAAAGGACCTCACTGCTTTCGGATTATCAGTGCGATGTTTGGTCTTCTTCTCACATCTGCACACGCTGAGGACACACCACCGTCAGGCCGCTCTCCCTGAGAACGCTGTCCACACTGTTTATTTATCTGCTATCTAATTCGAAGTGTGTTAACCCAAAACCACAGTAAGGGAAAGGACGCAGGGAAATGGATATTGATGTAAAGCAGCAAAGGATTTATTTATCTCCTCTGTGTATTGGCCTCTCATGTTTCCGTGCACTTGTTTGCTTCATGGGTTTTCTAATTAAAACTCGCAAAGGCTTGTGTTGTGTATGACAGAGCGATGTGTGTGAGAGGCAGTTTGTCTTATCGTCTGTGTAGTGGGTGGTAGGAGGCTCCTCATTCACACAGTTAATAAGACCCAAGTGTTCGTTATATCTATTGTTCCAAACCTTGTCTTATGTCCTAAGGAGTATTTACATTCAGCGAAGAAAAGCATCAACTTCCCATTAACCTGATTTTGTTTTGATTGAGATATCAATTTACAATTAATTAAATTAATAAAATAATTTAGTTAATCGGCTGAATGACTTTATAATAGCCAGGCTTCAAAGTAAAGGTACAGGTACAGGTACTGTGTAACTATGATATGTTTGCAAATGTATCTTGTTTGGGAATTAAGAGTGATGTTGGATTATTGCTGTATTGCAAGGGAAATAACACGCCTTAACATAGCTGAACTATTATATATAACATATAAAAATGTTCTGTACAATTATTTTACAGTCAACTAACTTTGATATTGCCGGCAGAGCATGTGAATTCAGTAAAGAAAGAGAAGAGAAGAGATTCAAAAATGGTATTAATAGAAGGTATTTTTCCCTTTTTAGCATTTGTTTTCCAGTTCCAAGAAAGTAAGGCTTGACACAAGTCCCCTTTTCTTTCCTCAGTTTGTTGAAGAGGATTCAGAACTACTAGATTTAACTTACAGTTTGAGGGCATAATACAAGCTTTGATGACTTTAAAACATTTAATTTCTGAGTCAATTCAGTTATGAATTGCTGTGCGGTTGGCATGTCTTCCTCAGTTGGACTCTATATATTTTTAGGGAGTAAACCGCTATTTGATTGATATTATCCAGAACCCTGAGTTTAGATATCAGAATCTGTATTCAGAGAGAGAACAACGGCTATCAATGTACCCCTAAAAATACACACAAAAGTGTTTGTTACAAAAACTAGTAAATGTTTCAGATGGAACAAATGTTGACAGAAATATCTATTTAATTTGTAACCATTTACGCCACACAGAATTTTCAGCAAGTAGAAGAATAAGTGTATCGGTTGTTTTCCTTTTTCAAATTCTACACTGAAAGATATAAAGAAACCTCATCATGTAATAAAGGTAATTTAGAAAAATAAAGGAAATTGGCCACACAAGATGGCATTTTTTTAAAGAAATGTCTTAAGTCTCTATGGACCAGCCTCTAATAGTACATATTTAAAGCTTAGTTTGCTTTTCTGAACGGTAACAGCTTTAAATATGAATGTGTTTTTCTACTGGCTGCAGTTCATATCTTTTTTTGGTGTAGGAGGTCTCAGTCTTTGTGGGTGTAGGGTGGGATTGTTGCCCATACCGGATCCTCGGGGACGTGTCTGGCTGAGTCAGAATGTACCTATAATTCTGCCTTCATGTTTCTCTGCTGTGATTGACAGTTACTGCTCAGACATGTTGCTCCTCCAGGCCCGCAGGGAGGGTCCTCTCAAACAGCGGCTCTCAGGAGGAACCTGGGGGCCATGTTGACCTGCAATCACCTCAGCTATCTATGATCAGACTGCCTGAGTTCCTTAGCTTCCAGGCTCACTCTTTTTGAGTTAGCAAATGTATCACTGTGGCACAATAATAACCGCAGTGGTTCAGAGAGAAATCTTCAATCAGGCTGTGATGTTTAAGTTGATATTTCTCCACTTCATCTACGGGAGGTTATTACAAAATATATTCACTCACTTGCGCTCCAGCAAGAAGAAGAAAAAAACCTTTTAATTTCCCATAAAATGTGCTCCATGTGACACAATTCATTGAGCTTGGGTTTTTAATTTGATCACTGATAAGCATCCATCTGCTGTGTCAAATTATTATTATTATCAAGTGATTTGTGGGAGGAAACTTCTGGTATGTTCAATCCTTTATATACTTCGGTTGAGCTCCTGAGAAGTGATGCCTTGAATGTGTCAGTGCTTCGCAAAAAGTATTTAGTAGTAGAGTAGGGTATACAGTAGTGGCTTTTTAACAAATTAAACTACCAACAGTGTATTGGTTAATATTAGATTTAGTTCAAATGTAACCACCAGAGATTGTTGCTTCTCAGCCATTTTGCCATTCATTTGTAGTTTTTCTTTTACTGCAGAACCTTGAAAAGCTGACAAACGTTTTAGTCTACAAATCCACAAATAACATATCGTAGTTATTTCCATTAAATCAGTCAATCACTACGATTGGCAGGGACCTCCCGGTGATATGTAGTAATGATACCTAAAGTACTGATGCTAACATCCTATGTGATGCCTTGAGTGTTACAGTTCGGTAATGTTGTGGATTCATAAGATTGTTGGTGTATTTCTGGTGGCTTTTTCATATTGGATTATGTGGAGCAGATGATTGGAGGCAGTGTGTTGTCAAACTCGCAGGGATGTGTCTGCAGTCTGTTGGGCAGAGACATCAACATTCCCTCCTTTCTGCTTCTACAGTTTAGTTCTGGATGGCGTAGAGCGGGATGTGCCTCATATTCACATCATTTAAAAATCATGAATTCCAAACTGCACACATCTCCCATTCGTCCTTCACGTTTGTTTTTGGCTCACTGTCAAGTAATTTGAGCCATTTGCTTGTGCTCGTAAACAAAGGGAGTGAATGTAGTTGCCCTGCCTCTCAATCATTTGTACATACCCTGAACATAGTATAAAAACAATCTGAAGCTCCAAAACACACAGGGTAAAAATGTAGATTAAAAAGTCCATATTGCACCTCAAATATTGCAACACTTAGTTTTAAAGCATCTCCTGGAGCTTAACAACTGTGCAGCTGTCCAACTTAATCATCTCTTCTCCTGAGAAGACAAGGTGTTATGAGTGACAGAGAAAGTTCAATTTGTCTCTCTTATATCACGATGAATGGGCAGATTACTTGTGTTTCATGGGCTAAACACTAAATGATTACAGCATATTAGCATGTGGTTAATAGCTAGGTGAACATTTCTTGTTGCAGACCATTAGTAGTTTCGCAGGAACGCAAGCTCAGACTCATGGGAAGAGCAGATGCTATAAACTTGCAGAGCAGCTTTCATTGCATCTCAGACATTATTAGGACGGCTAACTACCGCCGCATGCGAGTATTTCCATGTGCAATGCTAGGAGTATGTGCACGCATATTGCTCTGTGCCTGTATATCTAATCGGGCAGGTCTTTGCCAGTGTGTTTAAAATTCCATGGGAATGACACCCGATTGCAAACTGGGGTAATTCAGGGACACAATCTGGCTCGTATTCTCCCCAGAGTGATCGTTTTGTTGTTCGATAGAAGAGGAGACGGTGCATGCTTTGCATACTGCGTGTGTCTTTGAGTGTCCTGCTTTGAGTAAAAATATATCTGGTCTTGTTTGATGTCATGCCAGGTCAGTGGAGATGCCTGAACTGTGTCACACGGTCTGACAGGTTAAGA